CTTCAGAGCAGAAACCACGCCACGGCCAGGCCCCCTGGCTGCAGGTCCAAGGCAGCTCCAGGTGACGCCAGGGCTTCACCAACCCGTGTACCCCTGTACTGCCTCACGTGTCTCCTTGTCTCAGAGTCATTGCATTAGTCATGGGTTTTGTTGTTGTTGTTGTTATTGTTGCAAGTGATAGAAGCTCAGCCCAAACTAGGCAAGACAAAGAGAAATGTCCTTGGAACATTTATAAAACTAGAAGGGCAGCTTGGCCGGAGGGACACCTGAGCCTGGGCCTGGAAAGCACCTGGACTGCCTCTCTTCCCTCTGTGCCTCCCCTTCCTTTCTCCAGACCAGCGTCCGGCCACTTAACAACAAACATGGCCTCCAACAGCCACTGAGCCCGTAGCACTTGCCTCCAGAGAAATAAAACCCTTTTTCCAGCTCTAGTTGGCAAATGTTCGAAGGAGGGGCTCCATCGGAGCAGGCCGCAGGAGGGTCCCGTGCCCACTTCAGTGGTGACCAGCTAGTCAGGGGAGAAAGGCACGTGCTGGGTTCTGAGAGGGGGGAAGAGTTCTCCAGAGGAAGTAGGCGTCACTTCCAGAAGGGACGGATGCTGGGCTGATGGGCTGTCAGCTGCCCCCTGCACGCACTCCCTCTTCATCCCCAGATCTTTTTTTCTCTTTTCTTTTTAAAATTTTTTCAGTTACACTTTACACTCAATACTATTTTGTATTGGTTTCAGGTGTATAGCAGAATGGTTAGTCAGTCATGTTTCCAGTACCGCCTGATGCGGTACATGATCATCTCAATATCATTCCCCAGGTGCCTACGTTATACTTAACGCCACCTTTTTTCTCTTACCCCAGTACTTCTACCTCCTCAAAACCTCAACCCTGCTCTACTCTGTGGCGCTTTTGTGAAGCTTATAAACCCAGAGCTTCACCTTCAGAACAAAAGGTTTTCTGGCTTATCTTGGCCTTTGAATAAAGCCATATGTGCCCGGCCGCGTCACAGGCCCCACTGATCCGCCTTGGCCGGACAGAAGCACAGCGACCTTCACCACCGAGGCACTAAGCCCACTGCTGACCATGGCAATGCCCTCGGTCGGGGCCAGGGTTGGAGGGTAAGGGCGCGAAGGTCACTGCAGGCACTGTAACTTTGTGTGCATTTTCCACAGGGCTACGCCAGCCCGGGCTGCGTGCACTTTTCTAATCTTTAAATCCCCTGTGAACTAGGTCATCTTACAGATGAGCAACCCGCGGCTCAGAGAGGTGAGGTAATGTTCCCAGTGATGCACAGCGGGAAGTGGCGGAGTCAGTTCAAACTCAACAGCAAAGGCCGGCTCCTTCTCAAAGATCGGACTCCGTCTCTCAGTCACACCACTTCTGCCACAGGCTTCAGGGCCTGCAGTTTCCTCCAAAACGGGGCCCAGTCATTCCTACCCGCATCCCAGGTAACACCCCAGGTAATACCGGCGGGGACACACGCCCCCAGGTAAGAAACCAGGGTTTCTGATGAGACAGACTGTAGAGACAAACTGCCAGCGTTAGAAAATAGGTTAGGAGAAACCCAAACTTGAATTTTTACTCCCATAAAATAGCTTCATTTTTAAAGGTAGACTTTTGTTTATTTATTTATTCCAAAAATAATCACAAGCACTTTCGGAGCACGAGAAAGCACACAACAAACGGCCAAGAAGCCATGCAGTTCCCACAGTCCGCCAGCAGAGGGAATCAGCGCCAGCTTTGCAAAGCCCAGGACCTCCCGCCTGGTCACCAGCGGAATCCAGCAGACGGCACACCAGCTGGACCTCCCCGGAGTGCAGGACACAAAGAAGTCCCAGATCTCCTTACAGGTGTTTGAAGCTACAATGAGGGACTCCCCCACCCTGCCCCAGGAGAATCCAAGAACAGTCCTGAAGAACAATCCCGGAAAGATGAGGAATGAACAAAGGAAGCCATGGGTGGAACCAACCTGCCCCACAGACAAAAAGTCCAAGAACCACCGAAGGCCTCGGGTGCAGAACACACCCTACTTCGACCTCAGCCAAGCCCTTGGCAACCAGAACTGAATCGTGGGAGCCCACTTCCCAGCCCCAACACCCCGCTGTGCTCAGTGGGAAGGAAGGAAGATTCCTCCAAGTCACGGCTGTCTAGGGGTGGAGGAAGCCTACATATCGAGATAGATTTGGGAAGAAAGTCCAGGAGCACACAAGGCCCGGGAGAGTCCCCCTGGCAAGGTCACGCAAGACCTGCTGATGACCTGCTGGTGTCAAGAGGGCGGAATAATCATTCAGGCGGGAGTTGCGAGTCTGGTGTTCGGTCTCCACGTGGAACAGAACGGCTGCAGATGCCTCCTGACCAACTGCTCGCTGCTCCCCCACAAGCTGAGGAAGGCAAGAAGGCACGGCAGCGACCCAGCCCCACCCACCCGGCATCACCCCTGTGCTGGAGAAGATGGCCACAGGCTGATGAAGAATAAAAGGTGTCAACTTTATTGACTCCCCTTGACTGTAAACCCGGGAGGGGGGGTTGGGGGAAATTCCAACAACCAACTTGGTACGTACATCCTGGGTATCCTCAATTTCACAAACTGAACATTATAAAAATTAGTTTTTCCACTTCCTTAGCATAAGCTGGTATTGATCATCTTGTTTGCAAGGCAAAAATAAAAACAATAAAATGAAAAAAGTCGGAAATCCAATGAGGCAGTACAAGAGTGAAGTTTGCTCGGTATACATTTTTTAATGTTTAACCAGGATATGGATGAGAGACGGAATGCTGTTGGTGATGAATGAGTGTGTTAACACGGGATCACATGACCATGCTGAAGGGGTGGGGAAAGAGGAGCCGACCTCATAACCCTGGCAAACAGCGTTACCACCGGATACTCGGAGGCTAAAAACCTAAAAGAACAAAGCACACTCATTGCTCTAGTGCTCTAGTTGGCAAATTTGTTCCTCCAAAGGGCATATCCGTATTTCAACTGTTTTATATGTATGCTGGTGGTGGGCAAATACATAAAAAATTATAGATAAGAGCTGGATTTCTTCACTGTAGGACAGAAAACTTACAAAGAAGTGGAAAGTTAGAATGAGCCCTCTGGAGCTGGACTGGAGTCAGAGGTATCGGTCTGGACTGGAGTCAGAGGTATCGGTCTGGACTGGAGTCAGAGGTATCGGTCTGGACTCATGCTTCTGTTTTAAAAATAAACACAAAAATAAATAAAAGTACTAACCCCATGTGTGCACAGGGGTTAGTACTGTGTGTATGTGTGTGTGTTACACACATGTGGAGCCTGGAAGCAGTGACAGCCCAGCATCAATGAGCACACCTAGTGCCCTGACCTTTATTTCTAAACATCATTCATTCTTCAAAAAGAGCAACCAGAACTCCTTGATTAGTGGTCAATTCCAGGGCAAAGGCAAGGCAAAGACAAAATGAGGTAAGTCTAGAGTATCTTGTGGTCCCAGAAAAAAAAGGCAAAAGGGAGAGAGAAAGGAAAGGAGGGAGGGAAGGAGGGAAAAGGGAAGAAGGGAGGGAGAGAATGAAGCCGAATCAAAAGCACACAACCTGAAAGAGCCATTCCACAGTCACAGGCACGGCCTCCTGAGCTGCAGCCCCTAACAGCAGTGTCCAACCTTTTGGTGTCTCTGGGCCACACTGGAAGAAGAGTTGTCTTGGGCCACACATAAATACTCTGCGACACGTAATCACCAAAGAATCTCATAGTGTCTTAAGTAAATTTATGATTTTGTGTTGGGCCATATTTATAGCCATCCTGGGCCGTGGGTTGGATGCCCCTGCCCTAAAATGAAACACTGATGTTCCAATGCCAGGCTCCTGTGAAGGTGACCTCACTTGGGAGCAGAGTCTTTGCAAATGTAATCCAGTTAAAATGAAGTCATGCAAGATTCCAGTGGGCCCTACACCCACCGACAGGCGTCCTTAGAAGAGGAGCTGACAGAGGCACACGTACAGGGCGGGGGTCGGAGGGAGGAGTGTGTGTGAGGTCGGAGGCAGCCGTGGAGTGAAGCAGCCACAAAGCAAGGCCACCAAAGGTGCTCAGAGAGGCAAGGACAGATTCTCTTGGGGACTCCAGAAGGAACCCACTCTGCAGACACCTCCATTTCAGACGTCTAACTTCCGAAACTGTGAAAGAACGAAAACCTAATGCTTTGTGGTAATCTGTTACAGGAGCCCTAAGGGACCAATACAGATGGTAAAATTAATGGGTGAAAGTTTAAGCAGAAATAGAATATTTGCCTAATCTCCAAGCATCTCACCTTATAAGAGGAAAATAGTGACATCACCCAAATGAAACCTGGTGGCCGCCACCTCAACCATCGAGGCTGTCGTCAGCAGTCATACACATTGACATCACGTTCCCCAGATGCAATGCAAGGAGGAAGGCCCATCGTCTCGACGGATCCCTTCCATAATGCAAAACCTTGACACAATCGGATGGGCTGGCAAACTTGAATTGGAAGGCACTTCACAAAAACACCGACCAGTACACTCTCAAGTGCCAAGGTCATGAACCAGAAAAGAAGACAGGAGGTGAACCACACATCAAAGGAGACGGAGGAGACGAAAAACCAAATGCCGAGGGGGGTCCCGGAACAGGGAAAGGACGTCAGTGGGGCAACTGGCAAGATCAGAACAGAGTTGTGGCTTCATGAGTAATGATATGCCTACCGTAAAGTCTTAGTTTCGGTCATTGTTCTGTGGTTATATGTTACCACCAGGGGAAAGGGCGTACGAGAACTCTTCATGCTGCTTTTGCAGTTCCTCTATATATCCAAAATTACCTTTGAACTTCAAACATCATTAGGGCGGGGCTGAGCAATGGTGTCACCATGGGGGAAACTCCAATGAGGAGAGTCAGCCAGGTGATCACTGGCCAAATCAGACACAAGAAACCCTGCACTGCCAGATTAACCCCATCGATTACATGACCATGTAGTACTTCCAGTCCATAAGGCCCGACAAATGGATCATTGAAAGCCAGCACACTGCACTTGACATTTTTATTTTTAACTCTGTTTTGGTAGTACAAAAGTCGTAAAAGTACAAACCAGACAGTTAAAAATACACTTCACACTCAAAAGGGTGAAAATTTTCCTTTACAAAGTTTTACATCCAGGTGGCAGCCAACCCACTGATGACCCCCGGAGTCAGTGCGTCACTAGTGTTCGGGAGGGCACGCCCGTGGTGGGTCCCGGCCCTTCAGAAGGGGGAGGGAAAACACGAGGCCTGTAAACATCACTTGCTTTGGGAACACTTTAGAGTATTTATTAGATAATAGAAACCAGTAGAAAGTTTATGTGTTGAAAATATTGAATGCTTAACATTTGGCATAATTGGAAGACAGACAAAAACTGCTCAAGTATTCGAAAATATTTAAAACGTACTATTGGTATATATACAACTTTAAATATTTTTGAGTATTCTCTGGCCTGTTGTATTGCTATTCAAAAAGTGCTCTGACCTGAATAACGTTAAAAAATACTTAAAGCTGAAGAATATCTTACGTATTATCCCTCACCATTTTGAGGGCATATTCTTTAAACAACAAAATAGGTGTTCTTTTTTTTTTAAACTGAAAATATCGGCCTAGACTGCCCATACATTATTTACATTAATTCACATCCCCCAAATTCCTATATTGCTACTTTTTGGACCTCGGCGATACGTGTGTCCATACTAACTTCCTCTAGTCCACTGTGCAAACATGAACTACACCTACCATTTAACAGGCTGGAAATTTTCAGTTTGATGCCAGACACAGAATGGAATGAGCCTATGTACAGTAAGTACTACTTTCAGGAGTGTCATCTGCTCTAAGGCAGAAAAAGAGTCGGTTTTCCAAGCCCAAAGGGGAAGTAACTGCCAAGGTTCTTGTAAATAATGAGCATTAGTTACAAGATGCAAAACAGCAGATGCACCAGGGAAACCGAGCCAGAGGGAGGGGCCCACCTGGCAGAGGCGTGGGGACTTTGGGCTTTGTTTTGACCTTGGGTTGTCAAAACACACGTTTTTTTCGTTCGGTGACTTTCGGTTATTTTCCCCTTTCTTGAGTGGACTAAATATAAATTGCTTAGCTCAAGTTAAAAAAAACTCTCGATATTTTATACGTGACCTAAGAGAACGGCATGGTGGACCCTTGTCCACTGGCTAGTTCCTCCTGACTCCATGACCTCTCGCCAGGTCTGTTTCTCAGGGCTAGACTGGGCGATCTTCAAGGAGCTTTCTCCACCAAAGAGTCATCTTTATCTTTTGTAACAGTTAAACTGTAGATCTTCTTACAACCAGTGTAAAATTGGAAGTAAGGGCTGTGGGAACAGAAGCACTGGCACGCATACACACACGTACGCACACACACACAGCGTCAGCTCAGACTGAACACAAATAATTCCGCCACACCCAGCGATCATTCGGGAAAAACGGTGCTCACTAAGGCCCGGGACGGAGGACTGGAAGGGGCAGTGGCTGAAGGTCACTGGGAAGATAAAACATCAGTTCTTCTCTTCTTAAAAAAATCTCCAAGAGATTTTTAAAAACCAAAACTTGTTTCAAAGCCAGCTGAGTTTTGCATCCAGCAGAGCAAAAAGACTTCCTTCCAGCTTTTTCCATATGCCTGCAGAGTCCAGGACAGCAGGCACGTAAAAGATAAAAAATATTTCTTGGGCAGCTTCGTATCTCGTTACGTTCTCAGTCTCTCACAACTCTTCAAATGAAGTCATTCCTGGAAGAGAAATCAAGACAGGTAAAGCTTTATAAAAGGTAGCACAGTATCACACGCTGATCTGCCTGAATATTTTAAAACACGGAGAAACCGTAATCCATCCTTACCGTGTCCCACCCCGTCCCACGGCATTCCTTCCCCCGCGGCACAGTTCTTCTAGACGGCAGGCTAAAGAAATGTAAGCACCACGGTTTGAAAAAGGCCTCATTATCAAGGTTTTACAAATGAAGAAAGACGAGAATTTGAGAACCGCAGTGGATGTAAGGCAGCCGTAGGCTTCCACAGGAGTTTCTAGGGCGCGCCTTCCCGCCACGCCCCCTCCCCCACCCCTCCACCGAGCGTCCTGTATCACTCCTTGGGCCTCTTCTTTAGCTCCTCAGCCATACTGTGTCATGTGAACACGCTCAACCTCAAGGAGCCTTGGATATCCGGTGTCTAGGCCACACCAAACAGAGGTAACTCAGAGTCCCTGGAGCATGCAGGGCAGCTGGGCTGGGGTTTCACTGGCAAGTAAGAGCTGGTGACGGATGCTCGGCCCTAGGTCTTCACTGCACGCACCTCCAGGGCTCCGTGCTGTTAGAGAGCTCTGCTGTCAACTCCTCCAAGGCGTGCCTGCATCTACACTGCAGACAAAGCCCCCCGGAACCTCGTAACACAGGGCTCTGTTTCCCAAAGGGTACCTCCCCGCCCCCAAGATCTCGTCTCAGTGACGGACAGTTATGCACTGTCTGCGATCCCTGTTTTTGAGACTGAGCTAACCCAGGACGGGGCTGTGAATGCTGGAACACACACGCCAGGCAGGCCAACCTACTCCCGGCTAAGGAACAAAACGTTGTCTTGTCTGCCGAAAGTGTGTTTGCCTGCAACGCTAAACAAAGCCAGAGATGACGGCAACCTGCAAATACATGGAGAAGTAGCAAGAAGTTGATAGAGATGTCTCAATTTAAGCATTACTTCATATTATTTCTACTTCAGCCTTCAAAATACAGTCTATTATTATCCATAAGATTTTTTCTGTCACTCTGTAATTTATAATTTTCATAGTGGTTATCGGACGGAGAGAGAAGCAGAGGCACCGGGAGAGAGAAAGAGACAAAGATAGATATTGATTTATTAAACTAAATAGGTTGATGAAGGACCCTTATCCCCTTAGCTAAAAAGGAAATAAACATTGTTCCTAAAATAGCACACACTGAGTTATTAATTATAAACAAAATAATTCCCTGCACTTTGTTGCCACAACCTAGCATGGCTAAACCATAAATTTGAACCCTAAAACTGAACGAAGTCAAGTCTGGGAACATTTTCAACTGAGAATTGATTAATACAGAAAAGGCTAGCAAGAAAAAAATGTAGACAGGCCAGAGGTAGAGAAAGAGAAAAATGGTCCTAAAAGGAGAAAAAGAGAATTTTCCCAGTAAAACTTCAAACTAGGCCATTATCTGGAAAATTGGTATTCGACTATTTTTATTACTCCTTTACCTCCTGTTCCCTTTGAACTAGACTTCTGTGAATCACGGAAAACAGGGTGAAGGGTGAGGATGTAAGGCCTGGAATGTAACGTTTCATCACAGCAAGAGCTTTCATTCCAACGTCGGAGCGATTCCCACTTCGAGCTCTTCTCGCAGACCTGGCCCACGTTAGGGAGTGGCCGTGCGTGACGGAGGGCGGGACTGGAGCTGAGGCGTCTACGCCTGACCCCTGTGACCACTCCGCGGTGGTCCGGCAGTGGCGTTGCGCACGGGATGAAGTTCGTACAATGCTGAGTGGTCAGCGTACCCGCCTCAAGGGACACTCTTAGGGTCGGTACCATCGTGCCTTCTCCGCCCTGAACCATGAAGGCTAACAGCAGCCCTCCGTGGGCCTGTAATTACCTACTCGGTATCACTGGACCATGGTTGATGAGGGCTTCATTGAAACCGTGGAAAGTAAAACTTCAAATAATGGGAGGGCGGAGGGGAACCACTGTATCTTTTTGACTGAGACATGTAGATCCCTGGTTAAAAAGGGTTCACTAGAAAAAAGGACCAGTCCCTTTAAAAATTACACACCTGATTTAAAATGTTAAGTATAAAGGCCTCAAAGCACAGGTGCCAAGGAAGGAAAGGGCTACCGATCAATAACAACAGGAGCTGGCATTTACCGAGCGCCTCCTCCGAGCCAGGTACTACTGCCGAGCTAAGCACCCGAGGTCCAGTGACTCAATCTTCCCAACCGTCCCACGAGTCAGTGACAATTGCCATCTTCACAGGAGGAAGGCCACACAATCAGAGTGGTAAAGTCACCCCACACGGCACCGTCACACCAGTCACTCCAGACACACCATGGCGCTGCTGAGATCTGCGGGTTCCCTCACTTCTCTGCTCCCCGCCCCTGTGAGGCAACAGAAAGGAAGGGCGTGGCCCAGAACCGCAGGCAGGGCCCCTCCCCGGGGAGGTCCCCGTGGCCGCACAGCAAGAGCCCAAACGAAAGGGCGCTGCAAACCTGGCCCTGCAGAGGGACCCAGATCAAAAGTGCACCTGTGTGACAGTGAGGAGACACACAAGCCTCCAGAATCACACGGCCGGCTTCAGAATTACCTAGAGCACTTTTAAATAAAACAAATGGGGAAAGTTTTCCACGGAAACGGAGTTAACATTGCAACAGTAATATTCACGCTCTAGTCCCATAGCTACGGGTCTGTGATCTTTCACCAGTAACCTCTAACCCTTCAAGATCAAGCGCCCTGGTCAGAGGACTGTCGTGAACCAGGCTCTAGTCAACACTCTGGTTACGTGCTGGCCATTTCTAGTGGAAAACACGCAGCCACGTGACAATATGATCTTGTAACAGTGCTGCCTGCATAGACTGGCACCTTGCCCGGAGCAGACCAACAGGAAGATACCAGGAGGCGCTTGGTGTCTCTGGTCCTCTAACTGTGGTAAAGTTTATAAACTGATATTAATACCTTTGCATTTTAATGAAGGCTCCAAGTTTATTTAGAAAGCAGTCTAAATAGAAGACAGTCTGGGCCCATCCATGCAGAATCTTTAAGTCAGCATTCTTGGAATAATCAGGGGCACACGCTTTAGAATTGCCTCAAATATCATTAAAAACGGCAGGTTCTTTGGGCTAGGCCCACAACCTACTAAATCAGAATATACAGAGCTGGAGGCCTGCTTACTAGGTGCCCGGGGGATTATGCACGAATAAGGTTTGAGTCAAAAGGGAAACCCTGTACTGTTTGTCGACTGGTAATAACCAGAAGAACTAAATTTAGCCCCAGAAGGCAAGCCCTGCAAACGCAACTGCAAAGTCAGCCGAGGTCAAAAACTGTACGAAAGAAATGGAAGAGGGAACAGGTAGGGCAGAAGCATTTAAAGATGGAAATATAAATAAAAAGCTTAGCAACTCGATCTAAACGACAACATTTTTTAATTCCAGAATCATTTTAAAATTTATTTCAAAAGAGTTTGGAACTAAAATTCAGCTAATGGGCAGAGGTCTGTTTTAACGAGCACATGAGGGAGCGATCATCACACCTGTTATAAGGCATCGCTGGGGGCCAACTGTGTACAAAGCGCCACCTGAAGGTACAGTCTTAGCCTTCGAAGAGCCTGGAGCTCGTAGAGAGAGAACTTAAATAATCAGCTTCAAGCTAAGACAAGCTACAACCCAAAACAAACCTGGGTATTCCAAAACTTGCTTTTTCACCTAGTAGCACGTTATAGTAGATGCTCTGTGTCTGTATGTATAGCTCTACTCACCAACACAACCTTCCCTGCTTAGGTGTGTGACAATGCCCATCTCCCTTCACCCTCTGCAACATGGCGCTAACCCGGGAGACATGGAACCGGGCTGGCTGCAAGGTCTCACTTTACATATGTTTATTCTATGATTAAATATGGGTAATATTTATAGTGTTCCCTTTGACTCTAAGAAGAGTCTCGTTTTGGATGTAAGTTATATTGTCATGCTAGTGTTAACATTCATCTTCGCCAACAGAAAGGCAAACGGTGATCTCATTTCAGTTTGTATTTATTTGATCATTAGTAAGGCTGGGCATTTTCCGTGTTTATTGAACATTGCATCTTCTATGCATTGACGATGAGGGTTCTGCACCCAATTCCAGCGTGTGTGTGAGTGGGGGTGGAGGAGAGACACGCAGGACAGCAAGTTCCAATCCTCTGATCACATCGCTGGCTGGCTGGCTCTCCTGACAACCAGCTCCCAACCTCGGTTACTAGGGGCTTTGCAAGTGACCTCAGCAGCACAACAAGAGACCTTTGGCTCTCAGACTTAGGAAATATCGATCGTTCTATCAGCTTTGTTCCAGAACTGGCTACGAAGACCAAGTATATATTTCTTATTATAAATCACAATATCACAGATTGCCACATGATAGCCCCTACTTTGGAAAGGGTTTTCAGAATTAAAATTTTAGTTTTTTTAATTAAAGTGTTCATAGGTATTTTTTTCCATCCCAAATGGAAACAGCTTTTTAAAGTCGCATTGGGATAAAATGGATATTCCTGCAAATTATATTGCCTTCTTCATGGAATAATGCCAAGGTCAGATTTTGCATTCCTCAGAGTTTGACTCTTCTGACATTAGATTTAGACCTTACTGAGGCGTCTAAAGCTTGCCCTGCTGACTTATAGCCTCACAGCAATTTAAATGTGTTTGTATAGTTAGCAAAAATGGGTTTCCTGAGTGATGGTGAGTGAACACTTGTGATTTACTAGCTCTTGCACAGTGAGAGTCAGAGCACTCTGTTCCAAATAAAATGTAATTGGCATTAAAAATTGATTGTTCCGTAGCCGGAGAAACAGGGTTCGCCTAGGAAATATTTAAATGCAATTCAGTAGTATTCATCTCAGCACAGCTAGGATGCAATGTTACATTAAGCTACGGGTAGAATAACTTATTTCTCTGAGCAGTACCACATCTTTCTGATGAGGAAAAGCGAACAAGGTAGAAACTGCCTCTCCATTGGCTTGTGAGCTGGAGTACGGCTAACC